AAAAAAAGTTATTTTACTTAAAAGAAATCAAATTTACCAGATTCACAGCATAAAATAAAGTAGCCATTTGCTCATCGCTCATCACTTTTCCCAGGCTAACAAATGGAGTCGAAATGTTGACAACAACTGTTTTGAGATTGCTAAAAGTTGCGTCATTTAGAGATTGAACTTTTGAAAACTTACTAGTAGTATGGATTCATTTTCGGATCATAGTTCTCAAGTAATTTGTTTGGATTGTAGCCATTCTCTGGATGAAAAGCGTACAAGTTTAGTAGAAGTTAAGTTCCCGAGCTTGTTTCTACTGCTTTTAACTCACCAGCCACTCCTTGAGCAGTAGACATTACAACTGTTAAATAAAGAAGTCGAAGCATTGATTTAAAGCTATGAAGCAAACAGTTTTCAGTTTAAACCATCAATTTATAATCAAGAATGAAAGATTAAAATGAAATTATGATTAAGAATGGATTATTTAATGTTGAGCTTCTTTCTTTCGGATCTCATGGCACTTGAGTGAAGTGAGGGCCAATGCCAGACCACTTCAAATCCCACAAATTCACATTAAATTCTGGTTTTCAGCTCAAAATCCTTAGGTTTATATATAAATAATTTATTTAGAAAGAAATCAATAGCGAAAACGACATGTACTAGACAAAAATGTACCAGATAAAAGATCATAAAGTCACTTAAAATGCAACGAAGTAGCCCTATTAAAATCGATACGGTGCAGATCAAACGCAACTTGTCGGGAAGGGCATTCCAATCACACGATTTACAAAAAAAGCTCTAGAGGATTTAGGGAAAGCAGATTCGGGATGCAAGATAAAAGAGCTACGCCTAGTCACCAAAAGCCTCGAGTTTGCGGGTGAATTTTCACGTTTCAATATCAATTTGGATTACTTGTTCATAGAAATTAGAAATTTAGGCACTGATTGTTTAAAACAAATAGTTTTAAAGCAATTTAAAGCAATTTAAAAAAAATTTAGAACAATTTAGAACAATTTAAAGCAATTTAGAACAATTTAGAACAATTTAGAACAATTTAGAACAATTTTAAACAATTTTAAACAATTTAAAGCCATTTAAAGCTATTTAAAGCTATTTAAAGTTATTTAAGCTCAGGCTTTAAAGCAATTTTAAACAATTTTAAACAATTTTAAACAATCTCTGACAAGTTACTAATGTAATTTACTAGTAGTAGTAACCAGGGTGAGCAAAAGAGTCAAATTTCCGGTCAAGTTGAGTTAAAACCAAGGATTTCCAAGGATTTTAGGCTAAATTCACTGAAATCCAGGTCAATTAAAGTCCATTAAAGCTTTAGCTTGACTTGGCTAGCTTGCTAGTTGCTAGTTCTTAGGCTTTCTTTTGTATTCAAATCAATTTTATTACTCAAATGAAAGAAGAATGAATTACTCAAAGAAATAAGTATCTTCCAATCCATCATAAAATTCAAATTTCCCTCGATTCCAGTCATTTGAGAAGAAAATGAGCAAATTTATGCCCAAAAAACCTTGCATTGCCAAGCACAAGATGATCGATAATCTGAATGAAAGCTTTTAGCAGAAAATGGCAAAGCTTTACCTTGTTGTTAGTTTTTTTGAGCTCATTTGACTCTTTCCCTCTTTATTTGAAATGAAGATTGTAAAGCATGAGGCTGAGAAGTTCTTCTTTGACATCTTTTTCATCTTTTCCATGATGATTCCAAGGATTACAGAGATTAGACAAATCGCCAAGCAGATGATGACAAACCAGCCTTAAAACAATGACGATTAACCTTAATATGCAAACAATTTGACTAGTTGGATTCTTGACTTGTTGCTCTGTACTTTGTGCTGATAATGGGGCACTGATTCTCTCATTCTTGCAATTCGGTGAACTAGAAAGGATGTGTTTTGACTGAAGGATGTGTTTTTATGATAACATAAAGAATTTGAACAAATTGTATAAGACAAACCAATCGGTGGCACGACGTTCGACCTCGGGAAATCGTTGGCAATGATCGAGAACGTGATTGAGAGGGATAAAAGAGCTGTCATTCCAGTGCCAACCTGTAGATGCTCAGGCTCAGGTTCAGGCTTAGGCTCAGGCTCAGGCTCAGGCCAACATTTTCAAGCATTTGAGCAAACCAAGCATTAAACTAACCGGATTTCCCTGATCCTCACTCGATATTGGCAACAAAACCCCAATAACAGTCAATGATGTCACAAAAGCTGCTGGTAGAACAATCACGAAAATGTAATAGAAAGTATTGCGCTCGAATTTGAAGAAGAAACCGGCCTGGGAGTTGGAATTAGAAAAAAAAACTGGCTCTACAATATAGCTCTTGTACTTACCTCAATATAGCTTGAGGCGCCAGGTTTCAAATTTGAGATGTTATAGCCTTTACTGTGAAATTCGTGATTTCCCTGAAAAGAAGCTGGCTTGTAAGAGCTGGCTTGTAAGAGCTGGCTTGTAAGAGCTGGCTTGTAAGAGCTGGCTTGGAAACTGACTAGTTTCGGTTTTCAGTTACCCGTTTCACAACCCAACTTACGTCCAATGTCCCTGTCGGATCTCTCAATGCCTGAAGCTTCACTATTGTCATATTTCTTCTGCTTTTCGTGATTTGAACAAAACAAACGAGACGATCGAATGGAAATCTGAACTTCGAGAATGAAATTTAGCTCTTATTCATCTAACTTCTCTAATCCAGTCCCACAAAAGATTGTGGAATAGAAAATCTGTGTGAAGGAGACGTCTCCATTCTTTGAGATCCTCACATCCGAACTTGGACCATTTTGTAAGACTTTTGTGTCAATGCTAAAGGAGAACAGGAATTGTTAAAATGTTTAAGCAATACTTACGCATTCAAAATGCTGTATCTTGGTATCCATACTGTTGTTGACGGAAGATAGATCTCGCTTTCATTATCATAATTGTTTGGATCAAAGCCGAGTCTAGCATCCGTCCATTCCTAATTGGATTGAAAAGATCGTTGGTTATTTTTCGTTGGTAAAAAAATCGTTGGTTAAAAGCGTATTTTTCTCAATAGTATGACACTCCTTTGTGTTAAATTTACAATAAATCCAATTTAAAGCTTGTGAAGCACGCTAGAGAGACTCTAAGTTGAGCAGAAGCGCAAAAAAGTCCTGACAATTCAACTTTGAGTCCCTCTAGCTCGCTACATAAGCTTTAAATCGAATTTTTAGCTCACGCATCCTATGTAAATCGACATGGAGAATCGATTGGTGACGATTCGAAGTTTCCTGGATAACCGCTAAGGATCTAAAACCTCTATCTTTCCCAAATTTTCTCAGAAAAATTTCAATCTTTCTGACTGAATTTCATTTTAAGAAAATTTCATTGTAGCGAAGATGTAGCCTGAAGATGATGATGTAGCCATTTTGTTAAATTTATGGTTTAAATTGATTCGCTTATGGATAAAGCTCTATCGATTCTCCCAAAAACACCGAAATCTTGGCTATGGGCCTGGTACCTTTTACCTTTTTTCGAAAAAAGATATTGAAAATAAAATGAAATGTCATATTATTAGTAAAAATACAGTTTTTGGCACTTTTATGATGAACATTTGGAAAGAATGGTGACTCTGAAGTGAACTTTTTCAACTCACAAGGTGTACCATGTACAAGAGAGTCGCTGTCTGATCATCGGTCTTCACTTGCCCCAAACATACAAATGGAATCGTGATATTGACAATGACAACTTCTTTAGATCTTTGAGATTTGTTTGGATTAAAGATTTTGTTCAAAGTAGGTACCATACTTGTAATATGGATTTAGTTTGAGATCGTAGCCTTCTAGAAGTGTTGTTGGCTCCAAAGCAATGGCTGAATTGAACTGATAATTCTAAATGAAGGTGAACTCACCTTCTTTAACAAGTAGAAGCAAGAAGTGAATCATTAGTTTGCTGAAAGCTCAGCTTGCTTGCTTGCTCAGCTTGCTTGCTTGCTCAGCTTGCTTGCTTTCTCAGCTTGCTTGCTTGCTCAGCTTGCTTGCTTTCTCAGCTTGCTTGCTTTCTCAGCTTGCTTGCTTTCTCAGCTTGCTTGCTCAGCTTACTCAAAATTTACAACAATCAAAATATACAAAATACAATAGTCGATAACTTTTCAATGAATACAAAGCCTCAAACATCATTTATTTTATAGAAGATTTATAATCTCATAATTATTATTATAATGTGTTTTTATATCGTGATCATCTGAATCCCATGAAAAAGAAAAGAAAATAAGAAGATTGCTGATCAGAACTCCTTGTAAAATCAGAAAAAATATGAAGGAAAGTCTAAAGAAAAATTGATAAAGAAAAATCAAGAAATCAAAAGTTTAACAAGAAAAAAGTAAGTTTAACCTGTTCAATGAAAGCTTGAAAGTCTCAACGGATGTTGCTTGAACGATCAAAAACAGCAAGCATGATTGCTGTCCCTTTTCTGCTAATTGTTTCAATCTGGCCAGGAAAAGCCCAAGTCCTATTGAAGCCACACAAACTGCAAGACAAATAAGCACAAACCATCCTGAAATTATTTCTGAAAGCTTTATTTCGACATCAACATTCTCACCTATAAGTGGCACATAAGTTGTCCTCGGAATATTATTCGCAACAACGGATAAATTGATCGACAATGCCAATAAAGCATTTAATCCAATATTTGCCTAATATAAAAAGAATTACCAGCAGAAGAACCTCCGAAAAGCCTGTTAACAGCAGGTTTTTTCAGCTCTTCTTTACTGTCCCCATGGCTCAGTCGGGGGGACGCTTGACTCTAAGCTCGGCCCGGGCTCGACCTGCCTGGGTTCGACCCCCGGCTCGTCCCGCTCAACTTTGAGTTTTTTATTTTTCATTTTAATTTGTAATATTAATTAAAAATAATAGTATAATATTATAATTATTATAATCTAAAGTTTTCTAATGAATGTTTAGCTTTATTGGTCAAAAGACGCCAACAGACAGCTTAGAAAATGCCAACAGACAAACAGGCAGCTCTTTTATGTATAGTAGCTCAACCCGTCAACCAACAGGATCAATATTGTGACTCTTCGAAGTTGGTGACAGAATGCTTGTCACAGTTACACAAGAGACAAGAGTTGTTGGAATAATCACAACTATGATGAAATAGATTGATCTTCTTTGAAGAGTTAAGTAGAAATGAACCTAAAATGGTTTTTAAAGGTTTTCAAGTGAATTTCCCACTTCGTTATTATCCTGATTATGGCCAGGTTCATTGCCAAGATATGTGATTGCAGTGAAGTTGATCAGAGTGAACTCGTCATTGCCCTGTAACTTTACGATTTTCGTCCTAAACTTGGATTAGATCTTGACATTGCTAGATTGCTTAGATTGGATCTCGAGATTGCTAGATCCAGCCCTATTCTGCTAACAATGAGCATAAAAATTGAATAAGTCTGCTCAAGTCTAGATGAAACCAGAAGCAGCTGTTGAAAACCCACAGCAGCCATCGAATACCGTGCTCTGACAGCTTGAAGTCTCATCACAGTCATGTTGATTGTCGTCGAGATTTGAATTCCGCAAAAAAGTTTATCAAAAGGGAAACTGAAATCCGAATTGAGAAAGATTTCGAATTCAAGAATTCAAACCGTTTTATCCATCCATCATAGTGAACTTTTGAGTTAAAAATTAAACTTTGTTCGATTCTTCCATTACTTTCAATTCGCACATCAGAATCCGCTGCATTCGAGATGATTTTCGTGGAAAAGCTGAAAATTGAACTAAGAAATAGTATTCTTTGAGTTCAAAAAGATACAAATTTAAGCTCTAGTTCCGTTTTTTATTGGGTTGGTGAATTGAAAACTCCAGATAGGAGTCTTGGAGTTCGGAGACCCTTCCAAATTCCGTGGTGAGTCTCGGAGTTTGGGGACTCTTCTATTTTGCTCTATAGCTCGACTTCCAATTGTTAGATCGACTTGAGGATTGCGGTTTTCTATAGCTCGAGTTATAGACTATCTAAGTTTAGAGTTATAGACCATCTAAGTTTAGAGTTATAGACCATCTAAGTTTAGAGTTATAGACCATCTAAGTTTAGAGTTATAGACCATCTAAGTCCATCGACTTTTCCAGGTAGGTAGTCCAACTTTGACGGAAATTTTCTCTATGTTTTTACACTAGACTATACAAACTAAATTGTAGTTTTCTATAGCCAAATTTCATGAGGATTATTTTAAAACCAATCAACCAAGCAATTTGCGGATTCCTCTTTCGTAGTAGGATTTTGGTTTTGAATCGAAAAACGTTCAAAGCCAATTTTTGACTGCTTCTTCCGATTCGAAGTGTTCTCCCGTAAGCTCATTACTCATGATCCGGAATAAATAGTAATCAAAAGGTTCGGACTTATGGGGAATGCGCCCAAAGCTCCAAAACAAGGCTATTTATTTTAAAGCGAGTCAATTTTGCAACATGAGAGCGCGCGTTGTCGTGGATGAGAACGATCTTTGACTTGGAGGGCCTATTCTTCTTCAGGGATTCATTCACCTTTCCCAACTGTTCACTGTATTTGATTGCATTAACGATCGTCTTGCTATCCAGCAACTCCCAGTACAACTCTCAGTCCCAGCTTTTTGTCAGCTTTTTGCCGACTTTTTATTGGGTTGGTGAATTGAAAACTGCCGGACTTTGAACTAAAATTTATTCAACATAAAACCATAAATTCATTTCAAATAATTTCCATTATTATTGACGACTTCTGCCCATTTTACAGGCAATTTACGGATTCCTCTTTCGTAGTAGGATTTTGGTTTGTGTGTGAGACAAGTGTGAGACTCAAAAATGGAGGACTGGAGATGTCAAGGCAAGCCTAGTTTGAGCACTTTCTTCAAAAGAAACCCATTTTGGTGTCAATAAAAAAGTTGTAGAGAATCAAAAATTAGGCTTATCGCTAAATTTCCAAAAAGATACACTCAGTAGGTTTGCTTAAAATGCAAGTTTTGTGAAAATTTGGCATTTCTTTTGTGTAAATTTGGCATTTTTTGAAAAGCAGTTTTTGAATCGTTCTGAAAATTAGGATATAAGCTTGATTTTTGATTCTCTACAACTTTTCCATTGACACCAAAATGGGTTTATTTTGAAGAAAGTGCTCAAACTGTCACATATGAAAATAGCCCGCAGTTTTCAATTCACCAATCCAATATATCACTTAATCTACAGGTATTACGGTAGACAATACCTGTAGATTAAGTGCTCAAACCGTCACATATGACAATAGCCCGCAGTTTTCAATTCACCAACCCAATAGTTTCACTTACGCGTTGTAAATGCTATAACGCGGAGTCCAAATTTCACTTGATGGCAGATAGAGATATGTTGAGTTGTTGTAATGTTTTGGATCAAATTTCAGTCTTTCGTCGATCCATTTCTAGATATTTTATTTAAAAGAAAGGTATTCGTTTTACTAAATCAATCCCATAAAGAATTGTCGCCAATTTCTCATCGGCTAGAACTGATCCAAGGAGAACAAATGGCACAGCGACATTCAAATGAAGAGTCTCGTTTTTGCTGAATGCAAATTAAAGATATTTCAATTTAGAGATATAATTTAGAGATTTAGAGATTTAGAGATTTAGAGATTCAATTTAAAGACTACTTACACATAAAAGGGATGCAATCTTTTATCATAGTTTCCCAAAAACTTTGTCGGATCAAATGTATAAACTAAAGCTTTCAATAAATCTTTCAACAACTCTCAAATTTCTTTTACCTTTACAAAAAAGAAACAAAAATATTAGAAGCATTCAATTGCTGAATTTTAAAAATTTCAATAAATACCCATTTTGTTTGTCGAAAATGAAAAGGTAAAACGATAGGGGGACACGTGCAAATTTTTTGGGAACCTTTTCAAGTGGTAGCTTCTGAAAAAAGGGAATTTTGGAGGATTGTCGGAATTCTGTTTGTTGGGTAAATTCAGTGACAAATTTCTTCTTTTTCATCCATTTTTAGGTTCCAGATCGGCTTGAAGTGTTTGGGTGACGCGAAGTTGAAATCATTTCTTGGCTTTACTCTTGTTCGATCAGCTGTCAACTGCTTGCAAGATTCACAATGAAAACAAAATGTCTCAGATTTTAGTGTACTGGATTGTGTCTCAAAAAAGATACGCTTTTCCCGGAGAAGATTATAATCGAAGTGATTGAGAAAGAGAAGTTGAGATTGGGATTTGTTTGACAGCGTTTGACAGCGATGACAGATTGGATAGCGATGCTCAGTCAAGCAGCTATATTCAGACAAGTCTGACAAGATTATTGACATTTTGACAGTCTGATTATTGACAAGTCTGATTTATTAGGTATATGCATAAGAAATGAGGATTTCAACATTTCCATAAATTTCCAAATTTCCAATAGAAACCTGATATCGTTGAATGTTCTAAACTATTTGAAAGTTGTAAATCTCCTCTACAAAATAGGCTGTTTCAATTGATCGAACCATTGAAGAAATTTTGAGGGCGAAATGCGAGTGACCAAAAAAGGAATCGAGTCACTTTAGGGACAAATTTAGTGTGGTCAAAATAGTGCTAGCTTCCCAAAATTGAAGATTTTAAAAAGGATAACTATATATCAATTTATTATCAATTATTCATTAAAAAAAGTCTAACCGAAATGCATTTACAGAAATTTAGATAGAGCGTAAGTTCAAAACCCTCAAAATTGTCAAAAAAAGAAAAATTATTGTAAAAACAAAGTTTTCCCATGAAATGATCCCAACTCTTAATTATTTTGAATGATATTTAAGGCGCTCATTTTCCACTATGTAGTCAAAACCGAACTCTTGTGAAAGTGGGGTTTTCAAAGAGTGCCCATTTTTGGTCACTCCTTTCCCTCAAAATTTTTTTAAATTTTTTTTTAAATTAAAAAATTTTTTTTTTTTTTTTTTGAGGAGGTTTAATTTTTTTTTTTTTAAAAAAAAAAAAAAGAAAAAAAAAATTTTTAAATTTTATTTTAAAAAATAAGTTTTTTTTTTTTTAAAATTAATAAAAAGTTTGAAAATTTTTTTTTTTTTTTCTAATAAAAGAAGTTTTATGATTGAATGATTGCCTTATACCTGAAGCAAGAATTGTCAAATCGTACATTCATATCGTACAAATCGTACGTACAAATCAGGTTTCTATTGTTGGAAGTTTTCATAAGTTGATGCATTTTAAAAAAACGATAGAATATCTCTAAAACGATCTTTAAAACTTTAACCAACATTATTTCCTTACTTAAATTTTTTGTTTTATTTTGAGATTGTTTGCGTTTATTTGCGTTTACTTTAGCTTGAACTTTAGCAATGAATTGTTGAGTTGTAGAGTAACTCTTGTCCATTTAACTGTACTAAAGTGTACTAAAGTCTTCATAGAGTTCATTCTTGCTTCTTTATCAAGCTTTATTACACATAATAAGTATTCCGCTGATCTATACAACTAGAAATTTACATGGGAAGATGAGTAAAATTGACGATAAATAAGTAGCTTTGCTCATTTTGCTCGTTTTCTGATATCAACAGTGACACTCTTGGGAGAAACGGTGATCCATCCAAACAAATCGAGTTCTTTCTAGAATTTCAATTGTAAATCTATTGAATATTTAAAATAAATAGTATTTATTAGAATATTTATTAGGATAATAGTTCAAAATATTGAAACCTCAGTCTTCGCTCCACAAACAAAATCGTAATCTCGGAGTACTTTAGCAAAGGCGACTTTCTGCTCAATATAAGCAAGTCTCATGCCTGGAAAAGAGAAGAAAGATCATAGAGTTTTAAAAGATATTCAGCCTTTAAAAGAGCTTCAGCTTTTGAAAGATATTCAGCTTGTAAAGGATGTTCAGCTTTTAAAGGATATTCAGCTTTTAAAAGAGCTTCAGCTTTTGAAAGATCTTCAGCTTTTAATAGATATTCAGCGTTTAAAAGATATTCAGCTTTTAATAGATATTCAGCTTTTGAAAGATATTCAGCTTTTACTATCTACAGTGATCCACAAAAGTATTGTCCCATTGCCATCCAAAAGTTTTTCTCGTACGAAAATCTTCTAAAATAACGATATTCCCAAAAAGTGTAGGGTATTTTGCTTACCCATAATACTCTACTTTTCAAGTTTAGAAGATTTATCCGTATACATTGCAGAAAAATTAAAGTATAAAACAAAAACAATAAGTTACTTAACAAATAGCTCCACAAAAGTAATGTCCCATTGATGTTTTCCTTGATTATTCTTTTTATTTTCGCGTTCTATGAACATTAAATGTATTTTATTTTATTATTTAGATGGGTGGCAAGAAAAACCTTGACACTCCGAATCGCCAAGGCCCGGGAAAATGGGATGCGGGAAAAGGATGTGGCCAACCTCTTCAATTGCTCGAGAAGGACGGTGCGCCGCATTCTTTCTCAATCAAAAGTCGACCGAAACCTTCATCGAGGCTTCAAGAGTGGCCGACGACCAATCACAACCACAAAAGAAGATCGAGCCGTGATGCAAATGGTGAAAAACGATCCTAACAAAACACCAACCGATGGAAGCCAAATGATGAGGGATCAATTTAACAGGGTTATATCGCCGGAAACGATCAGATGACGATTAAATCGAGCTGGATTGATATGCAAGAAGGTCTGCCTGTAAACCTCTGATAAAATCTAAGCACCGGAAGCAGCGCCTTGACTTTGCACGGACCTACCGAAGTTGGACGACACGTGATTGGGCGAAAGTGTTATTTACCGATGAGACAAAAATCAATTTATTTCACGCGGACGGAAACCATCTTATTCGGGGACCGACTGGAAAGCGATACACACTCAAGTACATTCGGCCTACGGTGAAATTCAACGGAGGCAACATAATGTGTTGGGGTAAGAGCCTTTTTAGTATTTTGTCCCCTGACTGTTTTTCTTTAGGAGCGATGTCACGAACTTCAGTAGGTCCATTAGTTCACGTCAACTCAACGATGAATGCTGTGGCTTACAAGAACATTATGGAGACCCAAATGCTGCCTTGTGCCACACAGACGATGCCTCCTGGATGGATGCTTCACCAGGACAACGACTCGAAACACAAGTCGAGACTGATGATGGGACGGTTGGTGACACTTCAAAATGGTACCAGAGCTCGCCTGCCCGGATGGTTTGCGGAAAATCGTGTTAAATTGATCAATCCACTTCCCTACTCACCGGATCTCGATCCAATTGAACATTTGTGGTCATTTGTGAAGTCGCGCCTTAGGGGAAAGGAATTCGATTCGAAGGCCGCCTTATGGGTTCACATTCAACGTCTTTGGGCCACCATCCGCCCAAGTCTTTTGAAAAATCTCGTGGATTCCATGCCGGATCGACTCAATGAAGCGATAAAAGCAAAAGAAGGATCAAGCAAATATTAATTTTTTGAAAAAATTGTTAATTCTTTTCAAATGGGACATTACTTTTGTGGAGCTATTTGTTAAGTAACTTATTGTTTTTGTTTTATACTTTAATTTTTCTGCAATGTATACGGATAAATCTTCTAAACTTGAAAAGTAGAGTATTATGGGTAAGCAAAATACCCTACACTTTTTGGGAATATCGTTATTTTAGAAGATTTTCGTACGAGAAAAACTTTTGGATGGCAATGGGACAATACTTTTGTGGACCACTGTATAATTAGAGCTTTTACTATCTATTTTTCACTTACCAACACATTGTCGAGGTCCAGCTCCAAAAGAGAGATTTGCTTCTTTTTGATCAGACGTTAGATTAATCCATCTAAACAAATTGAATCATTATGAGTACTGTAATTGTTTTTTATAATGGTTTATAATGATTTATAATGGTTTATAATGGTTTATAATAGTTTATAATAGTTTATAATGGCTTATAATGGTTTATAATGATTTATAATGGTTTATAATAGTTTATAATAGTTTATAATAGTTTATAATAGTTTATAATGGTTTATAATGGTTTATAATGGTTTATAATGGTTTATAATGGCTTATAATGGTTTATAATGGCTTATAATGGTTTATAATAGTTTATAATGGTTTAGAATAGTTTATAATAGTTTATAATGTTTTATAATGGTTTATAATGTTTTGGATTAGTTTTTATAAGATAATTGAATTTCTAACCTATCTGGATTGAACTGATCCGCGTCAGCTCCCCAGATCTCTTTGCTTCGTTGAAGCGAGTAGACATCGACCTGAGAAAAGTCTTTTTTCTATCTACTTTTGTACTGTTTTATATGAGGTTTTTGAATTTTAAGTGCAAAAATTTATGGAGATAAGATAAACTCACTTGAATTTCATCTCCTTTCTCGAGTTGAACACCGGCAAGTTCCAGATCTCTACCAGCCACTCTGCTAACGACACTAAAACGAGAATTGAAGATATTCGAGAACTCTATAATCTCTAGAATCTCTAGAACGAGAATCTCTAGAATCTCTAAAACGAGAATCTCTAGAATCTCTAAAACGAGGATCTCTCTAGAACGGAACTCTATATAGCCGAAAACTCGATATAAAGGAATGGAATTTTGGTATATAATGTTATAGATAGCTATAGATAACGGCATTCCGGGCATCGCGATTCCGCCCCAGGAAACGCGTGTTGCAACTTTGCAACGCTCTAGCAAAAATTTAGAAACTTTTCTGATCAAATCCATTTCTGATCAAATTTCTCTATATAACGGAAAATTTTTCTTTTGGTCTGTTCCATCATAGAGTCGACTGTAGCTTTATTCAAGAATATAATTCAAAATAGACTTATAGGCACTGTAAGCATTCAAAATTTCACTGTTTATGTTGAAAGAAAAGAACCAATAAGAATTTGATTAGAAAACCTACACAGTTCCAAGAGGATTGAGTCGAAGAGCTTCTTTGATTACACAATCCATAAATTTAAGCTCACTCAGATCATCATAGGAAATTTCCTGAAAAGTTTTCTTTTTTCAGAGTTTAATATAGCCTTATATCGTTCTTTTTGGGCATATTAGTGATAAAAAATTAGAATTTACCCTATCACCGCAAACTTGATCGATCTCTTCTTGAAGACGGCGCTGGATCTGGAATTTCAACATATTATTTGGTTATCTGGCTTATCTTCTTTACTTTTTCGATATAATTGGATAGTAAAGCTTTTAAAATATTTAAAAATAGAGGTTTTCGTTAAAAACTGATAACAAATTCGAATTCTTCGTCCTCGAAAACCCTAGGCCCAGAGAAGAAACGAAGAAAAAAAAGAAAAAAAAAAGAACAAGCCGGCGGGATTGAACCCTTGACCTCCAGACTAAGATACAGAGCTCTTAGTCATTCGGCCATGACGGCAATGTGCTGAACGTGTTAAATAACTCACTTCAGGATGCTTTGCCAGATACCAAGTTGAGTAGGAGAGAGAATTTGATGTTGTATCAAAACCAGCCAAAAGGAACAGAAAGCATTGCATCACCACCTCTTCTTCTAACATTTGACGAACGATCTGGAAATGTGCGCTAGATAAGATGTGTTTCGAGCACAAAGTACTGTTTCTCTAAGCTTCCCTACATGAGCATTTTTCCCGCTGAGCCCTTCTTCTGCTTTCAAATCAACATCAGCTTCAGCATCCAAAAACAAATCGATGAAGTCAACAAGTTCCTTTTCTTTTGATGACATTTCTCCTTTTGCCTAAATTTAAAAAAAAACAATTTTGGAACCGTATTGGAACCGTATTGGAACCGTATTGGAACCCTAATGAAACAATTTTGGAACCGTATTGGAACTCTAATGGAACCGTATTTGATCAAAATAGGAACAAAATATTTCCAAAATGTAAATTTTAAAAGATAAATAGAAATAAATAGAAATAAAGACTCACTCTCAGAGCTTTTCTCTCAGCCACCGCTTTCTCGATTTTTATCAACAATTCAGCAGCTGCTAGTTTGAAGCGTCTAGCCAAGAAGATGAAGAAAGCACGGAAGTACTAAGAAAGTTTTGATGATAAATAGAAATCAGAGAAGGCTACATAGCCACGATTGGTCCTAGAGCTGAATACCTCACTGACAATGACTAGATTTACAATTACACTACAATTACACTACAATTACACTACAATATTCAATTTTCATTGAACTCTGTACTATCATGCATAAAGATATTGCACTTTTACAGTTTACAGTTTACAGTTTACAGTTTACAGTTTTACAGCTTACAGCTTACAGCTTACAGTTTTACAGCTTACAGTTTACAGTTTACCGTTTACAGCTTACAGTTTTACAGTTTACAGCTTACAGTTTTACAGTTTACAGTTTACAGTTTACAGTTTACAGTTTACAGCTTACAGTTTTACAGCTTACAGTTTACAGTTTACAGTTTACAGTTTACAGTTTACAGTTTACAGTTTACAGTTTACAGCTTACAGTTTTACAGCTTACAGTTTACAGTTTACAGTTTACAGTTTACAGCTTACAGTTTTACAGCTTACAGTTTTACAGCTTACAGTTTTACAGCTTACAGTTTACAGTTTACCGTTTACAGTTTACAGTTTACAGTTTACAGTTTACAGTTTACAGCTTACAGTTTACAGTTTTACAGCTTACAGTTTACAGTTTACCGTTTACAGTTTACAGTTTTACAGTTTACAGTTTACAGTTTACAGTTTACAGCTTACAGTTTTACAGTTTACCGTTTACAGTTTACAGTTTACAGTTTTACAGCACTTAGCTCAAGATTCAATGACCAAAAACTAACTTTTCTCAAAAAAGGAATTGCTGTGGCCATAATGAAGAACGGTTCACGAGGATCTCGAGCAAAAGCCTGGAAATGTATCAAAAACTAGGCTTTATTAAAAACTAGGCGTTGAAGGTTATCTTGTGTAAAATGTACGATGAATTTTGTTCATATCAAGATCTTCAAGACTTGAAGATGTTCATATAACACAACCCATCATCACTTTAGGCACTTTCTGAAAACCTGTCCAATTTCTAACAAGATAGGCTTCTTGCAGTGCCAACAGGGATCGAACCCTCAAGCAATCCAACGAGAGACAAAGAATTAACCACTTAGCCACAAGGCGCTCGTTCTTTCTCCTTGATAAACCCACAAATCTTAGCTGTTCCGCGTATTCACTTTTCCATTGCATTGTCTCTTTTTGTCCCATTGCAATTCTTGAGATTACATCGATCGTGTATTCTTGATAATAACTATTATTTAGATAATTTTATTCAGAATTTTCTTTATTTCTTACGTGTGAATGTCAATTGGAGCTTCACCAGCATTCTTTCCGATGTGAGAAACTAAATGTTGAGCTGAATCAGTGACTGTTGGGAAGATCTGAAATCTGGGAATAGATTTCTCATCGATTAACAAAAGCTTCACCTTTTTAAGGCTATTATTGGAGAATTGAGGAGAGACAAGAGCTCTCAAACGCTTCCATCGAGCACCCCATGAATCAACCAGATGTGCCTGTGGATCGTCGGCTTCCGGTTGAAAGAGGGGATTTCCCTGTAGGGTTGTGATTCAAACAAAAGTCAGTGTTGGGGAGAATCGTTTGAATCTAACCTTTCTTTGTTGAAAATCATCGAATCTCGAGTGCAGCATCTCTTTGACGGCTTTGAGTTCAGAGATCACCAAGACATTCGTTGGTCCCTCTTGATAACCCCACACTTTGCCGAATTTCTGAATGGTTTGATGATTTGATTTAAAAAGTATATGGTTGGTTCAGTTTAAAGTTAGGGCTGAACTTGAGAGGCTGTCTGGCTTGGAATCGGACAATCAGAATCGGACAATCGGAATTGGACAATCGGAATCAGACAATCGGAATCGGACAATCGGAAGCGGACAATCGGAATCAGACAATCGGAATCGGACAATCGGAATTGGACAATCGGAATTGGACAATCGGAATCAGACAATCGGAATCAGACAATCGGAATCGAACAATCGGAAGCGGACAATCGGAATCGGACAATCGGAATCGGACAATCGGACAATCGGAAGCGGACAATCGGACAAGGAATTCAAAGATAACCCATTTCAAGGTCAAGAAACCGAAGTCCGCCCTTCTCCAACTGCAAAATTTAGCAACTAACAACTAAATTTAGCACCTTCGAGGGTGTTTTGCAGTGCCACCAACTCCAAAAACGCATATATCTCAACGCTGAACGAAGATATTAAAAAACTAACTGCAGATTCGAACTCCGACCTACTTCGGCTACAAAACAAGCCAAAATTCGGCTTTTGAGCAAATAGACTTTTTTGAAAAAACCATTTGGTGCTCCCCATGAAGCTTTACAAATTTTTTATCCCGAAAATTCAGAGATAACCCATTTCAAGATCGAGAAAATGATTGGGGCCATCAGAAAAATGAGTTGTTGCTACAAGCAGCAACTAATATACAAAAACAACCTACAAAAACAAGTAAATTAGCCAAATTTAGCAAAATTGCTTCTCCATTTAGTGTTTAGCATTTGCTAGATACTAAATTCTAAATCGATTTAGCAAAATTGCTTAATGCTAAATAGTTTAGTGAAATCGGACCTTAATCCGGTCCTAATCCAAGCCAGTTTAGCACATTGATGCAGTTTCAAGCCAGTTTAGCACATCTATTACCAATAAGTACTACCAAAGATGCCCATTCCATTAAACTCACTTTTGTATAATCCATCAATGCCGGATACCAAGGCCTTTTCGGATCTCCAACTCTCCAAATCAATCCCAAAAGTGGAATCGATTTGATGTGTGGGATTCCCTTTTCTTCCCAATAAAATGTCCTTTGATAGGCCCACCAAATATAATAAGCCGCAAAAACGGCAAATAGAGAGCCGAATATCAGAAGAAACATTCTGAAAGTTATCTAAATGAATGGGCAGAAGATTTGAATTTGAATTTGAAGTTAAATTGGCTTTTGAACTGAAAGAAAATTGACCTTGGTTGAAAGGAAAAAAGTTGAAAGGATTAATGCGGATGGGTAGAGTTGTGACTTGTGTAAATCACAGATCAATGTATATTCTATTTGTTTCTTATTGATTTTAGTCTAACAAACGTCTCGAAACCAATTCAATTCATAAAATCAATTCAATTCCATTAAAAAGTTGAATAAAATCCATCAATCTATCAAAAACGTTCAATTTTAACCAAATTTTAAAAGTTGAGAAGCAAAATAGAAGTGAGTCAGTGAAAAGGAAAATGAAAGGTGAAAGAGCTCATGAATCTTTGCTCTTCAGGAATTGATAAGGAGATTTTGTTAAACTATAACTATTTTTAGAGCAAGTTAATTGATTTATCAATTGGATAAGAAGTACAATACTGGACAATGAAATATCATTTTTGAAAAACGATCGTCACTTTTGCGCGTCTGTAACTCCCCTATCTTTACCGTATTTCTAAATATTAATATTACTATTGTGTAGCCCTTGAAAAGAGCTTACAGAAAATGTATAACACTAGTAGTTTAAACTCAAAGACAAGGAAGTTACAGACGTGCGAACGTGACGATCGTTTTTCAAATATGATATTTCATTGTCTAGTACTGTAGATCTTTACTGATTTCCGTTCAAGATTAGAAGGATGAGATTAAAATTGAAAAACAAAAAGGAATTTTGGTCACTTGAAGTCTTTTCGTGCTCCAAATAGTCAAATTTGAAAATGATAAACGATTTAGACTCGTATTCTAAAAGCTGGGGATAGGCTAATTTCCGCCATTTTATTTGCACAGCTGGGTCATTTGCGCAACTAGGTCTTTTGCGCAACTCGCCATAACTTTCTTCTAAGTAAGCCAATCTTTATGATTTTGGTGTCATTTTGTAGATCGCAATAAGTGTAACAAAATGACACTAAAATCATAAAGATTGGCTTAATTAGTAGAAAGTTATGGCGAGTTGCGCAAAAGACCTACAGGGTGCGTCATAGTTATTGCAACAAGATACTCAAGGCATTGCACACCAAGAAGTTTCACTGGAAGAAGATTTTTAAACAGAAATAGCTTTATTTAACAGTAACAAATAAGAAAACAAGAGATCATTCGATATGACCGCCTTTTGCCTTGATAACAGCCCTTAATCGGTTCGGATATGCCTCCACTGCGGCCCGAATGTCATCTTGAGGAATCGCCTTTCATCCTTTGGTCAAAGACTTCTTCAAAGAATCCAAACTTGTGTGTTTTCGAGAGCAGACATTAGCCTCTAAGATTGCCCAAATGGAAAAGTCCATCACATTGAGATCCGGTGAGTTTGGAGGCCATTCATCCTTGGTGATCACTGAGGGAAAGTTGACCACACACCAGTCCTGAACCGTCTTCTTCGTGTGAGCGGGAGCTCCATCTTGCATGAAGGTCCAATTTTGATTGTTATTGGCTTTACACGCCCATGACACGCCCGTTTTCCTGTTTGGAAAACGGTCTTTGAACTCTTGTTGCAATAATTATGACGCACCCTGTAGTTGCGCAAATGACCCTGTTGCGCAAATAAAATGACGGAAATTAGCCTACCCCAAAAACTGAATATAATAGACAAATGAATAAGTCAAACTTAACATTTGAAAGTCTGAAAATAAAGAAACCCTTTTGTAGTGATGAATGATGCAATGAAGAGATGACAAACTTCGATTCAAAGAACATTTCCTTTCAAGTAAACAGCCCATTTCTATGATGAAACTTTTGAAATGCTTAAAGCCAAAATCTACTTTTATTATTTATCATCTTTATACAATCAAATGACAAAAAAAATCAATTTTATTCAAAAAAAAAAAACATTTGGTCTCTCAAGGCTGGAAAGGAGATAAGTAAATAGTGAAGAAGGAAAAGAAGAAATTTCTGAAAGAAAAGAGAAAACTTAGAGAAAAAGAGACTCTTTTCGGTAGGATTTGACCGATTTTTGATCAATTTTTGATCAAAAATCGACTCGATTTCAATTGGAAATAGAATGTAGTGTAGTAAAAAGAATGTAAAAAAACACTTTAATGTAAAACAATGTAAATGTAACAATGTAAAAAGTAATCTTTTAGAAGTTAATTTTAGATTAGCTAATAAGTCTTTAGGCACTTTTGTTTATAAATAAAAAGTTCACCGATTGGTCAATATGATTTACTTTAAATAGAAGATTTTTATTGTACACTTTTCTATCTTTTTACGCTAATTTGGGCTCATTTCCAAGAAAATCGGAGCACAAAATTCGCTAAAAGGTATAAAGGAATTGGCTAAATCAATTTCTCTGAAAATTTGGCTATAACCCTAACTTTTTGCGCTTTTTCTTTCTATTGACACTAAAATTTGATTACTTTGAATCAAAATGTGTTAATCGGATAATCGAATCGTTGCTCTTTTTGACTACCCGAGTTCACACCTCCCAACAAAAGTCCAAAAACAAAGTATTACTTAAGGTTTCAACGATATTTTATAGAAAAATATCACGCCTTTCTAATGAAGCAAACCTTAAGTCAATAGATGAATTGTTTATTTCAAAATAGCTTTTTAAATTAAGAGTCTAAAGACTCATGAGCCAACTTAATAGATCTTCTTGAAACTTACTGGCTTTCAGGTTTATAATTATACCCAAAAAGTTTGTGCGTACTTTTCGTTGTGGAAAAAATGGGATCTGGCTCACGGTTAGTGATAGTTCGACTAGATAACAAACTTCTTTTTGCTTTCTCTTCAAAAAAAGATTCTATTTTTGAAACTTAAATGATCAATAGATGAATTTGAATCCTTTTGTCGTTTTTTTAAACTTCTAAAACTCAAAAGATTTCTTCAAAAAGGATTCTAATCCTTCTACAAATTGGTGCGATTAGAGTCTTTTCCTTTTCTTTTCTTTTGTGGATTGTAAAACATAAAAAGAGCTCACCAATTTGAGTTATAAAGTTGGACGGAATGGTTCGACGGACATTTTACTCTTCTAGGATGAAATTTCTTTGGATTTTTGTGTTTTCTATGCTTTTTGATGGTTTGCAAGGAACAAAAAGGTTAAATATTATTTATTTTTATGAAATGTGATCCCAGCTTTCGAGTGTTATCTTTCAATACTTGGCAAATGGGAAATCATGTGGAGGATGGGTTGAACAAGCTGGCTAGACATATTTTAGCATTGAATCCGGATATGGTTTCGTTACAGGTAAATTAGATAATTGATTTTTGGCAAGGACTATGGAGTTTGCGAAGAACACTGACATGTAACGATTCTTAACGTTACACTAACATGTAAGGGAAAAGAAGTTGTGCCAAGGCCTCAGAAACTTAAGTTAAGTTAAGTTAAGCCTTTCTAAAGACTTAACTATTGGGTTGGGGAGAATGAGTCGGCGCCGAAAATCAAAAAAATGTGTAAAACTTCTATTCGACTTCGTCAAATAATATGCGTTTGATATGAGTAGAATGGTTAACTAATTCTCTACAAAATCACATTTAAAAGAAAATTCAAACAGCGCCTCCGCTCAAGAAAAAGCCATTTTTTCACAAAAACTACAAACTGTGATCTAGAAAAAACCATTGGTGGGATCTTCCTGCAAATTTGGCAACTTAAGTAATTCAATGTGCTCTATCTTTTTTATATAAACACCAAAGAAGGTTTATGTGAAAGAAACTGTTCAAATGATGAGTCGGACTCTTTGCCATTTTAACCAGCTGCGTTTGGAAGTTCATAAACTCCACGAAAGAAAAGCTTTGTGGAATCTCTCAAAAGTGATTTTGTAGAGAAATAGTGGATCCTTTTGATGAAACCAAACGTATGTTTAAAGAAGGCTTTATATGTGCAAAAAGTCCCTTTAAAGTTTGGCGCCGACTCATTCTCCCCAACCCAATACTTTCATTAAGTTCTAAAGAATTTAATAGAGAAGATCGTGGCGTTTGCCAGAAACGTACTCAGAAATCAGAAACTGGAAGTCAAGTTTTCGCAAAAAGTGGTCCCAGGCGGAATCGAACCCGTAGGTCTCTTTCGGCTGAAAGACCGACGCTCTGACACTGCACCATGAGCACATCCTTAACGCCCTACTTTCCCCGCGTCTTATACCCTCGAAACTTTCTGTTCAGTGCAAATCATTTAGGAAGTTCAAAATGAGACCTGTGCCAAGCAGTTGAATGATCTTCTCGGAAATGAATGGACAATGGTTTACGCGAAGAAAGATTATCCCGATGTGGCCCTCGCAACAAAACATACTGTAAGTTTCAATGCATTATAGGAAAGACTGTTAACTGTAGACCAATTTTCAGGTAATCCCCGAGTCAGTTTTGAACACAACAGCTGGCGTTCATGCAACGATCGAGTTTCCCGATGGATTTCGAGTGAATTTCTGGGCTTTTCATGGATGGTACAAGTAAGTGAATGTTAGAAAAATGAAGAAAAATTCTAATATTTTAGAGCCTACGGTCCTTATGCTGCTTTCAATCGTTTAGTCACAAATATCTCTCAAATAATCGTTGGAGAGAATGTTCCATCAAGAAAAAAAACTGGTATGAGTAGGGAAATAGTTGTTTGATTGAGTTTGATTGAAAATTTTTAGGAAGAGCCGGTAATATCAAAGAGATTTTGAATTGTAAAACGATGAAAGGAGATTTGAAAGAATTGAAAGAGATACCGATGGTGATTGCTGGAGATTTCAACTCACCGAGTCATCAGGATTGGATTGAGGAGAACAAGTTGATTTTAGAAGATTCATTCGACTTTTGAAGAATTTTACTTACAAAGGAAGGTCAATTGGGTTTGTTGGCTAAATCCATAGGCGAATGGCCTATGGATTTAGCCAACAGTTTTGTAAGGAGATGACGCAGAATTTCACGCTGATCATGATGCTGCTTTTCTTTTTTGCTACTGAGCACTCTGTCAAAAGTTATACGCGTTTAAAGTTTTGTAAGGAGTTTTAAAAATCAAAGCGCGACATTACAACCCTGTCTACCGCAGGGTTACCGATTGCAGCGGTGGCCAAGTGGTAGTGATTTGAGACGCATTGCGAGGGTCCAAGTCCGGTAGCTATATCTACTCTGGTCCAAGTCCTGGTCCAAGTCCGGTAGCTATATCTACTCTGGTCTAAGTCCTGGTCCAAGTCCGATAGCTGTACCTGGTCTGGTCCAAGTCCGGTAGCTATATCTGCTCTGGTCCAAGTCCTGGTCCAAGTCCGGTAGCTGACTCTTTGCTTTTTTAGGTTTTTTGCATCGCTCATGTGATTTAGCCAGCACATTCAGTTGTCCTTCCCTTGTTAGAAGTTCAATACTTACGATTATTACTCCGCGTAACACTAGATTTGTCAAAATGAAAGAATAGAACGTTATGACTTAACTACTTCTAGAGATCTTCACGGTGGTTGGGTTGTCCCTTGGCCCTCAACGAAACAGCTCACCGATGTCGGATTTGTTGATTCATTCCGAGAGATTTATCCCGATCCCATAAAGGACCCTGGTAAGCTTAACATCCAAAGATAAAAGCAACTGATTTCAGGATTAACCTGGTCAACAATGTGCAAACAGAATATTGAATGGGAGTATTCATTTCCCGAACCACAAGACCGCGTCGATTTCATCTTTTATAAGGGATTTGTGCGACCAATGAGGTAAATGGATTAAAGTTTACTGTAACTAAAGTTTCAGATCTGAGCTCTACTCAGGAGCCGAAGCAATTAAAATAATGCCCAATCAGAAAACAAATGACTATCCATCCGATCATTATGCGTTGTTCACCGATTTTGAGGTTTTACAATAAAGTGCTTGAAAACTGGAAGTGAATTTGTTGTGGAAAGGATTAATTGAAATAGACATTAAATAAATGTATAAAGTTGCGGTTGAAATGTTCAGTTGGAGAAGTGGGTTGCTAAGTTTGGGTAAATTTTTGAAAATGATTGGCTAACTTAAGCGGAGGCTGTGGTTTCGGGGACTGGGGCATCGGTATTAGCTGTGACAACAGGAGTCTGAATAGGAAAATTCGGATAAATACAAACTGTCGTAGCAAATTGATACTGTATCAAATGGCTTTGACTTTAACAGCGGTTCAGTAAAAAGTTACAACGGCGTAACATTTCCTGTAACTTTGGAAGAGTACTGAAGAGTACTCTAGGCAAATCGTCAATAGCTCTTCACTAGAACTGCTTGACGAATGTTTACGATGTGGTTTTGTGTGGTCCAAGTCCTCCATGTCCTGGACCTCCACATGGACCTCCATGTGGTCCATGTCCACCTGGGCCAAGAAGTCCTTGGTCACTTGGTGGCCTTGCGTGACGTCCCTGATAAGAAAATTTTAGGGATGCTAATTAAATTTGTCGTATTGAAAGTATAGATTGCGTATCATGACTGGAAAATAGGCCTAAACGTTTGTTTAATTCTTTACCCCATGGTTGGGCTTGGGAAAGGGGAAACTCGCGATGGCCACCACCAATAGAGCAAATTCAAAAAGGAGTCTCATTTTTCGTTAAATTCTATAATTTTTGATCGCTTTGTATAACGACTTTTACATAATTTTTATGAATTGAGCGATAAATTTGGAACTCTTAAAGCTTCAAGCTTCGAGAATTAGTTTCCGATATAGGCAAGCTCGATATTGATGGTGGAGTTCGGAAAATGGAATTGAATAAGCTGCTGTTGGTGTGTGAAAATAGAAGAGACAAACAAGAAATTTATGGGCTTTTGATATTGGGAGCAAAAATACAAGTTCAATGTTGTTTGGGTGCATCGCTACCGTAAAATTTCAAAATCGGTTCCTATTTTGCGGGTTTTTTGCCTATAAAATTTACCATCACTTTCTCAAACTTGCTCGAAAAATTTCATTTTTACCTCCTCCTAGCTCGTTTCCTAGCAAGTCATGCATTGTCAGTTAAATAACATTTTCCGGTTAGATTAATCGGTGCAAATGCAGTTGGGGAGGGGGCAGTCTGTAAACTCGTCTTGACATATTGAAATTTTGCACTGGCGGTTTTTGATGATGCTGAATCGATTGGTGATATTTTCAAACTATGATTTCTTGTTATTTTGATGTTATTACACATGGGCCCGGCTCTGATATTTTCTTTTTTTTGATGCTTTTCCTCAGTTTTGTAATTTTCTTAATTTTTTCTTTAGTGTATGGCGCAAGCAGGTTTAGCAGCAGCAGCTAGGCTTGAATTGAAGGCGTTTAACCTCTCAAGAGAATGGCCCAAACACGCGATCAAGAGTGACAGGAATTTCGATGATTGGCTGGCCAATATGGGACTGCTTTGGAAAGATCGAGGTTGCCCAAATTGTGGATGTCCGATGCGGTTAGCTAAGCAGGGAGCGGGTATAAAATTGAAGTTTGAGTACAACTTGAGAGCATGTAGGAAGAAAGCTGGCTTTTTGAGGGTTAGTTGTTTGCAGGGTTGTTAGGTAACTGATTGCATAAAGTGAACGTTCTTTGAGAATTATCATGCAAGTCATAATTCAGTGTTCCTCTTCTCCTACTTGTGGCTCCACGTAATGTTTTGTTGCCATCATTTTATTGTTGCTATTAAAGTGATTGTTGCATTCTTGTAAAATCAAAATAACAAGAAATCATAGTTTGAAAATAGATTTCAACATGTCAAAACGAGTTTACAGATTGCCCGCCCCAACTATCTTTGTGCCGATCCACCCTGTTCTGCTCCCCTAAAAAAGCTACCCAACCGTTCTCCGTACACTTTTTATCAACGCTATCCCCGTCTCACTTTTAGTTATTTTTTTTTGAACAATGAACAAGGTTATGAAAAATTGAGTAACATTTCGTGTTTCCTTAGAAACCTTTGAAATTTTCAAGATAAAAGAAAGCTTTGCCCAGACTAATCATCTCAAATTACCTATTTCATTTACTGTTCTATCCGTTTTCTACCTGGTTTGTTTTTATGTTTTCAATTTCTAATTTGAGATGTTCAGCGGCAATTTCTTGAAGAGGATCACGCAAGCTTTAATCGGAAGAATGACACTGCCTGAGACAACAAAGGCATCGACATCGGCCATGCAGGGACGATTGGTTTGGGTAAGGAGTTTAGTGCTATTAAAAGTTGCGGTAAATTAGAACAAGGGAAAGATTTTGGAGCTATAAAATTTGTATAAATTGAAAGGGTCATTTGAAACTCTATTCAGCTTTACAATTAGACTTTTTGATGTTTTCATTTTTAGATAGATTGTGAAATGACAGGTCTTGAGCCGGAAGTTCAAACACTCGTCGAAGTCGCAGTCATTGTCACCGATCAGGATTTGAATGTGAGTTGTTTATTGAGCTGTTTTACTTATCGTTGATGATTTTCAAGAGGGAATAGGGTTGCAGAACAAGATGATTATAAAAACCTAAACTGAAATATGTATTTTAATTTATTCTGAGAAACTTTAATCAAAACTTATCTTTTAGATAGTGGCCGAAGGTCCGGATATTGTCATTCATCAAACGGAAGAAGTCCTCGACAATATGAATCCGTGGTGTAAGAAGACATTTGCGGTTAGTTTTATTTTTTAGTGGGTCGATTATCTTATTTTTTATACATACATTTTTTAGAAAAATGGTTTACTACAAAAGATTCGAGACAGCAAAATTTCAATGGAAGAAGCCGAAGCACAGGTTTGCTTTTGGGATTTATTACGGGTTAGAGTTGGTACTGAAAAGGATTTAAAATCATTTTTTGCACCTTAATATAGCATTTCTTTACAGGTACTGTCTTTTCTTGAACCCTTAGTGGAAAAGGGAGTTTCTCCGATTGCAGGAAACACGGTTGGCATTTTAATTTTTTAGGTTTATGATAAACGTAGTTGCTATATATTTTGGATATTTAATGGCTTTAATGGATATTTAATGAATTCTTTATTTAGGTATGGATGGATCGTGTCTTCATCAAAAAATACATGCCCCGATTGGACGCACATCTCCATTACCGAGCGCTCGATGTTTCAACGCTTAAAGAGGTGGGCAAATAGTGGGTGGATTATTTAGGTTATGGTTTAGAAGCAAGCAAAAGAAATAATTGAGCTGGGATGTAAAATTATAGAGTTAAAGTATGGTCAGTTGAATTGAGGTACCGATATAACCGGATAAGCATTAACTTTAATTTCCAGGCAGGTGATGTAAACGGAAAGGATCAATACTATCATCTGTCAAGATAAAATACTCCACCTTTAATATTCTTCTTTAGATTTCACTGCGTTGGTACCCGGAAGAATTGAAGTTAGCGCCGAAGAAAAAGGGATTGCATAGGTGGGTTTTACTTGGAATCTTAAAATATTGATTTATGTTTTCTAAATATTTTTTATTTAGAGCCCTCGATGACATCAAAGAATCGATAACCGAGCTCAAATTCTACAAAGAAAACATCTTTAAACAAAAGTAAACTTAATAATTTTATGATTGACTAATCAATAATCTTAACGTGTTGTTGAGAAATTGGTACTCGCGGGTATTTAAAGCTTTTCTCGGATCCCTTTGAATTTAGATACATATTGCTCAAAGATTTTTTGCCTGATGAGATTGTTTTTCGATTTTTCTCTAAATTTTTGAATACAAAATTTATTCTTTGTTTGAAAAGCGCAAAAACTAAACGAAAATCACAAAATTGAGACACAGAGGTCGGGGGTTGAGAGGATTATTCTCTCAAAAATTTAAATTTTCAAATTTTCGTCAATTTCACACGATATTAGAATTATGAACCCTGTAGTATGGATTGCGAGACTGAATGTGTTAAAATATTTGCTTCAATCGTTTTGGGAACGCATTGGTTTTGGTGTTTTTAAACTGAATCCGGTTTGTTGTTGGTAAAATGCGACAAAAGCAACCATTCGTGCAGTCTTTTCAATCTTTCGTAATACATTCAGCAATCAAGTAACTCCACTGTCACCCACTACCTTGACAGTTACTCTAACTGTATGGCTGACAAAAAAATGACAGGCTTTTTGGAAATAAAACGTTGAAATGGTCGGATCAATAAGATCTGTTTTGATCAACTTTCATTTCACTTTTTTCTCTTATTGGTTCAATTTCTCTCTCACTTTTTTCAAAAGATTAACTTCCTTATCCCTATACAGAAAAATTATTTTACGATTTTTACGATTATTAACGACAAGTACAGCATTAATAGTTAGCACTGTACAGTATTCGGTTGAAAGGTAAGTTCTGCCCGTTTTTTTGCGAGAGGTTCTTAAACTCAACCAATCCACACGTGTTATGGCTCATTTGAAAGCTGAATTCAAGGCGGAAAAAAGGGAAAACCCGTTTTTGAATTCATAAAGTTTTGAAGTTTTTACGGGCGTTTTAGTAAGCTCAGTCAGAACAAAAAAAGTGCCAAAATTGTGTTTCCATTGTTTTTTGTTCGGCAACATAAGCTAAAAACACGTTATTCGTACTCAGTGCATTAAATTACCCTTAGAAACTCATTTTTGAGATTTTTGGCAAAAAAAAGTCAAAATTTTTGTACCGAGCCGGGATCGAACCCTTGACCTTTTGGGTAGTAGCCGTCTCGCCGTTTTTTGCCTCTTTTCTTTGCTTTTTTCCTTTTTCTGCACCTTTTATCTAAAAAAATACCAATAAACAAAATGAGAAACACATAGTTCACTAATATAACTGAGAATGAGTAAAGAAGCAGAGTTTTTTAATGTTATACTGTTTTCTTTTCTCATAAAGATTAAAAAGAACATGAAATCTATTCCCAATCATTGCCCTCTTTGATAAACAGAAATTTTTCACAAAAATATGTCATCAAAAAGGTTTTTCTAGGGAAATTAGGTCAATGTTTATAGAATGGATTCAATTGTAACGAGAAAATTGGCAGTAAGCTCATTGTTTTGTGTGATAATTTGACGAGTTTCTTTTTTTCGTTTTTCCTTTTTGTTGTGAATCGATTTATAATCATATCGATGGTTCCCTTTTGAAGGGTTTTTCTGTTTTCGATCGACAGCTTTTGAATCGAAAACGAAAGGTTTATAGCTTTGTTTTAACGGCTTGTAAACTTTTGTTAGCCGGCGCACCAGGCTACCGTGATTACTGTAACCAGGATGGCACCAGGTTACTGCAACCGTAACCTGTAACAGTAATCCTGGTTGCTGTAAATAAAGGCTACAACTCTCATTAGTTTTGGAAACTATCGCTACCTGGAGCACCGAGTTAATGTATCTTATCATCTTATCGAAACATCAGTTAAGAAGTTTATCAGTTAAGAAGTGGGATCCTTGTTTTCTGCTCAAAATGACGTCATTTCCTTTCCAGATCACTTTCATTGTCCAGTTTTATTTGTCCTCTCTTTTTATTTGTCAAATCCTCTCTTTGATCAATCAAGTGTTTGCTCTTTCCAATCATCTTTTTGATATCTAGATTTGTTTTCATTCACTTGTCTATCGAGCTAATCCAAACTAGAGATCATTGTTCTATTTAGCTGCTACATTGAGCTCCTATTTACATTGTTACATTGAACATTGTTAGCTGGCGCACCGGGCTACCGTGTTTACCGTACATTGAGCTCCTATTTACACTGTTACATTGAGCTCCTATTTACACATCTTGTACAGTATTCCAGAAAATCTCCTCACATGGGTCTCCTCACACACCGTTTCCGCTATATCGTCGTTTTCGGGTGTTTTCTCTGTTTAACAGCAATCAACTCAAACTATATCACAATGAATTTCACGTTTATTTGCATGAAAGATGATATGGATGGAGCGATCAAGAATGATAATGGAGTAAGTTTTGAGTACTAGGTACAATTCATTCATAAATACTGTAAGAGTACCCTACCGCCCTCGTACAGTCGCGTAGTCGCAAAAGTTTTTTTAGTATTTCATCTCTTGCAAAGCACCCGTACTTTCAAAAAATGCGTCTTTGATATCAAAAAATAGCCCTGAATTTCAGCTATTTTTTGATACCTAAACGCGCATTGTAGCATAAACCAGTGTCGAGAAAAACGCGTCCAAAGCTAGACTACCCAACGCTCCGCACCGTCATTATGGGGGTGGGGTACTATTACAGTATTTACGGTAACAATTTTCAGACTTTGGTCAGTCGTTACGATTACACACCAATGGAGAAGAGTTACATTGTGTGGGCGGTGGCTGCGGGGACAATTCTCGGCACATTTCCCATCAATTGGGGTTACATTCATTATGGGGCAAGGTAAGGAAACTTTCAGATTTCAGATTTCAGATTCAGATCTTCATCTCAGATTCCCATTCTTGATCGCCGGCACTTTGTCAGCTCTTTCAACAGCTCTTGTTCCATTTGCCGCTTCTTTCTCGTATCCTTTCTTGCTTGGGCTGAGATTTGTTCAGGTGAGGAGTCATGGGGAAAAGAGTGTTGCAAGAAAATAAGATTACACAGTAGTATTATTGAGAATAAAGCGGAATAGACGAACAATTATCTAGTTACTAATGGCTGAACAAACAAAAAACAACAATAACAAACAATGGCTCAAGTTAAGGGATAATTTTTAAGGTTGGTGTTTGCCAAAAATCAGCCTATCATCCTTAATAAGTGAGTTTGAGACTTTTGCAAAAATACACTGTCGCAGGCGGGGTCGAACTCCGAATCGGCTGAGAGATAGGCCGACACCTTGGCACTGCGCCACTAGGGAAGTTGACAACTCCCCTTTCCTGCACTTTGTTCCCTCCTCCAAGGTTTTCTGTGTTATCCTCTATTGGGGATTCTAGAAGACTCGATTCTGCTATTCACCGAAATCTACTAACGAATCAAAAGTTCAATCCAGGGTCTCGCCTACTCTGCTGATTTCGCGGCCATCGGTTTGGTGACAGTTAGATGGGCTCCACTAGCCGAGACTGGGGTTTTCATTGCAGCGATGACATCATTCACTCCTGTTTCCACAACAATTACGAATCCGGTTTCCGGTTGGGTGAGTGTCCTATAGTTTTACATTCGATTTTAGATATGAATCGTTTTTCAGATCTGCGACTCGTCTCTCGGATGGAAATGGGCTTTCTACGCGCACGCGATTGCCACAGTTATTTTCTTTTTGGGTAAGTTACAGGAATTGTTCACAGGTTATTGGTATTCTAGTGATGGTAATCGATCTTCTGACTATAGAATAGACTATAGAATAGACTATAGACGATCCTGATTGTAGAATAGAATAATCAGGTTGGCTTTCAGGTTGGCTATGGTATTACACAGACAATCCATCCACCCATCCCCGTGTTGATTCAAAAGAGCTAAAGAAGATTCAAGAAGGAAAAACCGAAGCTCATATCAAAGGAGATAGCTTTGTGCCATATTTGGTTAGTTTTCTCGAGATTTTCTTTTTTTATTTTCATCTTCATAACTAGTCTAAAGAGTCTAAAGAGTGACATTTGAGGAAATCTGTAAAAACAAGACGATCTTGGTTGTGTGGTTCAATTCGTTTGGGGAAATGACCACAGTGACCCTTCTACTCACCTATATGCCTCTTTATTTGAACACGGTAAAATTGAAAAGAGAAATTCGAATCAGAAAGTCGATTAATGTATTGGGTTGTCCAGTTATGAATGCGCGTTTTTACTATTTTGTAAATTTCTCAAGATATCGAACAGATGTATATGAGTGTTATATATCATTCGAAAGCTGAAGATCTCCTCTACATTTTGGAATAAAAAAAGTTTTTGAATTCATTCAACCTTTTGGGAAATTGACTGCACAAAGGGAGAGGTCGTTTTCAAAAAAAACCCATTCCAGCTTAGCTAGTCCTCAAGTTTTATGGTGTAAAATAACCGCCCAGAAAAGAAAAGAAAAGTAAAGATGCTCTGAAATTGTTATATTTTTTAAAAAGTTGTATTGATATATCTATTGGCCAAACATCAAACGGTTAACTCAATTTAAGCGAAGCCAAAACTTGATTCAAAGGCGCCCTTCCATTTTTTGGCCACCTCTTCTTCTGTGCAGTCAATTTGCCCAAAAGCTGAACAAATTCAAAAACTTTTTATATCAAAATGTAGAGGAGATCTTCAGCTTTCGAATAATACTCATATATGTCTTTTTCTTGATTTCGGTATCTTCAGAAATTTACAAAATAGTAAAAAACGCGCATTCATAACTGGACAACCCAATATATCTAAAAGTCGAATCTCTTTCAAATCTCTTAACAAATACAATAACAAATCCAATAACAAATCCAATAACAAATACTTTAAATGGCAAATTTTCTCTTTTACTAGTGGAAATCCCTTTTCATTTCATCAAACGAGTTGAACCAGACGAAATTCTCAAAGATTTTCCTAAAAATCTCCTAATTTTCCTTTAAAAAATCATTAAATTTCAAGGAAATCATCAAAAATCCGGTGATAATTGTGGTTTGGTTAAACTCGTTGGCTGAAATGTTCTCCGGTATTTCCATTCTCACCTATATGCCCATCTATTTTCACACGGTAGATTGATGAGAAAAGAGAGATTCATGCATGCTTTTAACAATTTTTTAACAATTTTTTTAACTAACAAACAATTACAACTAATCTTTATGAATTTAAATTATTTCAGGTTCTCGGTTTCGATGTGGTTACAACGGGGATTCTCGCGGCTGTCTCCTCATTTATGCACGCTCCATTAAAATATGCGTCTGGATATTTTAGTGACAGGATACAGTAAGCTTTGCTGAATTAAAAATATATTCAAAATAAATACAACGTTAATTATGCAAACTATTCTAGCTCAATCAACGAGATCAAAAAGATGCAAGTGTGCAATTTTATCGCTGTCGGTTTCGCGGGTATTTGTTGTATCATGATCGGAATCGTGAAAAGGGCAGCTGGTGGAGTGCTGGCTGTGGTAAGGGATTAGGAACACCGAAATAAATATTTCAAATAAATACTTCAATACTAAAGCTTAAGGAAACGTTTAGGTTTTCTTCACCGGGGTTTATCTTTCGATGTCGGCCAACTGTGGGGGTTTCTATAAATGTGGAACGCTTGTTTCTAGGTAAATTTTGGGTTTTGTTAGAGTAAGAGGATTGCAAATGAATTTCAGGTATTCAAGTATGCAATTTCAAGTATTCAATTATTTTCACCTTTCAGACAATATGCTCATTTTGTGTTGGCGACTATTCAATTCATGAAATGTGTGGCTCTTGTGGCAGCTCCAGCAAGTTGGGCAATCTTTGTGAGAGATGAGACTGGTGAGAATCTATTTTTATTGATTATCATTTAGTAAAATCGAATTTCAGATGTCGTTCAATGGTCGTATGTGTTCTATTTGAATGGAGCCGTGCTTATTGTGGTTTGTTTTCGCAATTACAAGACATTACAATACAAGTCAGCTGTCAGTTGTTACTTGGGTCAAGCTTTCACATGTTAACTTTCACCATCTAGAAAACAGAATTTCTAAATACTCCACGAGGAATTCAGTGCACCAGATGCTTTACTGTACTGGGCACAACTATAACAAAAAATATTTAGGCAAACATTCTTTTCCTCTTCGTTTGCACCGATCAACCAGCCGCATTCACTCATATCACGCGAGAGTCAAGAGATCAAATGAAAAAAGATACAGTAACTCAAGAAAATGATCAGGAAACGATTACTCTAGGAGAAAATAATGATCTTCATAAAGTAAATGAGAAAAAGATGGGTGTTTAGTGATGAATTGTTTTGAGTGCATTTACGGGTTGCAAAGGGTTTTCCCTTCTTTTGATTCACTTTCAACATGTATAGATTGTCTTTAAATGGTTTACAAACGCTAATAAAGTTTTAACTCTCAAATTTCCCATGTCAAAGCTGTGTTTCAAACATTGACCCGAGTTTTCTTCATGTAAAAAGAAAAAGTTTTGAACGTGGCGATTACAAGAGATTAAAAATTGATATCAAGAAATTTTCTGAAGGAAAATCTGAAATCTTTTGTTTCTTTTGTTTTTGAAATCATCACGTAAACTAATTTCTTTTAGTAAATTAGAATATAGTTCACAAAAAGCTGTAACTGACTCACTTTATAATAAATCTAGTATTAGATCCATTCAGGCCTTTAAATCCAGTTTAATGCAGATCTAAGCATCTCGATCTAAGCTATAGGCAAGGCCTGACCTTACAGAATATTCAGGATCAAGTCAAAAGTCATTACCATGAGTATGGCCTTGTATGGAAGTTTGATACTTAAACTGATTCTGACTGGTTCTAAATCAGCTCTGATAGTTCTAATAAATCAGGTCAGGTATCAAATAGCAATTTAGAATTACCTATACCAGATTAATAACTGTAAAATTTGTTTATGTGCAAAAAGTAAAACATTAGGAACCAAGTGAAAATTAAAATTTGCAACCAAAACTAAGAAATAATGCATGAAGTTCAACTGAAACTCTACTTATTAACATGAAGAGAAGACACTTCATCGTTCATTTGTTCGGCACTAACATTTGTTCATTTGTAAGCTTCGTCATTGCTTGAACCAAGAGATCACAAGCATTTTCTGTGCTAAACAGATACATTTAATGCCGATCTTAAAAACAAATATTGGTTCCTAGAGCTAGAAGACTAATCGCACAACTAGGTGATACGTTATCATTATTTGTTTGCCTACTTGCTAAATTCAGAATAAGAAAATTTTACCTGAAGCTTTCATCGCTGGTGACTGAAGACGCTGTCGCTTCATGGTGACTGAAGCCTTCATCTTTGGTCGTCAAATCATTCTGGAGTTGCCAAATAGTGCGGATATCCTTGTAAGTCTTTCCCTAAATAAGAAAGCCTTATACAGAGATCCTCAAATATCAAAGTATTAAATTTGAAAAGCTTACTGAAATCATTGCAGCAAGAATCTTGGAGAGCTTCAAGCGGAGACAGCGGACCTCCATCCAATTAGAAACCTAAACCAAATTGCTTTTGTTGCAATATAAACTTGAAAACAACATTGTAGAGCGCATAAAGCTCCAGTCAAATCTTGCAAAAGTGCTTTCTCCTTGATTTTGATTTCCTCGCTGATTTCCAAGCTAAAAAAAACTACTTAACATTATTAGGTAATAACTAACCTAGAATTCGACTTATCTTCCGTCAGAATTGGAATTTCTTTGTGATCTTCACACCACTTGATAACCTAAAATACACGTGTCCAAAGATTAAGTCTTTAAGAAAGCTACCGTGTTCTCTCTTTTTAAAGCATCCAACTAGGTATAATAAATTAAAGTACCATTGCAGATATATTTTCATTTTTTACTTTTTTCCACCACTTTATAACTACATGGGCTCGTTGCGGAACTGAATACTCCAACCAGATTCAAAATGGAGCAAGTTTAAAAACTAAATAAAACAAGAAAACCAACTAAAACCTAGCAGTTTCAAAGGCTTCCTGAAAATAACACAGGAAAAACTAAAAATTTAGTCTTGGCTAACAAAGCATGGCGCCGATCTCATCAGCAGCATTAGTTTCGGAGAGTTCATGCCATAAATATATATTGCTATTGCTATTTTATGCTATTCATATAACATTGTCGTTTTAAATTGTAATTGAACCATCACTTTTTTCTTTTCAATAAATTCTAAGTTTTTTGCTATTTCTGTTTACATTTTTTTCTACTTTTACCAAGTAAATTTTAAATTGAAATCAACAATCAACTTCCAAAAGTGCCCTATTTCTTACAAGAACCGGAAAAACCTACCTTCAGTATATTAACGAGTGTTCCCGATCGGTCCGCTTGCTTTGAGATTTCCAACACCTTGTCATCGTTAGTCTTGATCTAAAATAAAAGATTAGAAGTTCACTGAAAACAAAAATTACTATACTGCACGTGTAATTTAATCAAGTTTGCATCAGTTCTTATCTAGATTGTGTTTGTGAAAACCTTTTTGAGGTGTGCTTTTCTAATAAAGATATTATAAAGTTATACCTTGTTGATAATCTTGCTTTTCAATTCAGCTATTGACGCCTCCCAATTTTCTAAAAAAACGAAATCATTTTTGAAAAGAACATGTGGTAACTAATTATTGAAAAAGGTGTCAAGCTGATAGTAAAACAATCTTAATTTAATAAAATCGTTCGAAAAAGTCATAATAACAATTTCGCAGCAGTCCTACAACCAAGCCGTAAACGCGTTAGATGTAGAGGAACACGCGAATTTCGAAAAGGAACGTACTTTGAGGACTGTTGTAGGACTGCTGTGAAATTGTTATTACGAATTTTCTCGGCGAAAAAACCTGAACGGGGGGGGGAAAAGAGCCCCCTTTTTTTTTCCCCCCCCCTTCTTCCCCTTTTTTTTCTCCCCCGGCCTTTTTCCCCCCCTTTTTTTTTTTCTTTTGGTTCTTTTTTTTTTTTTTTTTTTTTCGGGGTTTTTTTTTCCTTTTTTTTTTTTTTTTCCCCTGCCCCCCCCCCCCCCCCTCGGTTCCCTTTTTTTTTTTTTTTTTTTTTTTTTTTTTTTTTTTTTTTTTTTTTGTTTTTTTTTGGGGGGGGGTTCGCCTTTTTTGGGTTTCCCCGGCGCCTTTTCTCCCCCCCCCCCCTCTCCTTAATAATATTTTTTAATATAATTTTTAATTTTCTTTTTTGGGGTTTTTTTTTTTTTGGTGGAAAGGGGGGGAAGGGGGGGGGGGGAGAGGGGGGGGGAAGAAGGGCAGAGAGGAGGGGGATTTTCTTAAACCCGAACACTGAACACCCGAACTTGACAACATGCCAACCTTTTGAATCCTGCAACTTTGCTAAACCTTTGAAACAAGATGCAGTTCCGCAGACGAGAAAATGAAAATTTACCCACAAAAACTGGTACTAATAAACAATTTGACGGGGGCCACTTTGACCAGACTTGGTCAGCCCCTGATTCTAGGCGTGTTTATTCTAGTCCTATTTTGCATTTTCTGGGGTAATCAAATACGCTTAATCAATTGACGATATTTTTAGAATATTTTGAACAACTTGTCACTTTGTATTTTGCCCCTCTCTTCATTTTTAAGCTAAGCAACACTGCAGAGGCCAAACTCTAGCTAGCTTATTAAAATATCAACAAAAATTGTGTCAGAGCTTTCTAAAAAGATTATCAATAGATTCATCCTGCTTGATTACCCCAGAAAAAGTAAAATAACGTTGGTAAAACAGTCAAAAGATACAATCTGACCAAATCGAATCAAAGTGGCTTTGGTTTCCGCTTTTGCATGTTTGCAAATTACCGTTTAAAGTTCTGATACTTAAACAACTTTTCCTGTTCATTTTTCATTTCTACTAACTCCGCACTCACTGATGCAACGTTTGATTCGCTCCGTTCTCGACCGCTTTTCGCAAAACGGTTCTTCTACTAACCTCAAAAGTTCTTTTTTATCAATCAAACCCCTTTTAACCCCTGCTAGTTTTCCTATTAAACGGCCATTTTTCCGTTTTATTCTTTTTTTTAGATTCGTTGACTACTGGTTCATCTGCGACCTCAAATGCCCCCCAAGAGATCTACCCGACTTTGCCAAATGCTTCCCCTTCTAAGACGATAATTACGCTGGTGTGTTTAGTTTCTTTGTGTTTAATTGAAATTCTTTCGAGTGATTTTTATTTAATTTCTTGTTTAGCCTTCGCAAACGCGATTGACGAGTGGTGCAGATGTACATCGATACAGTCGAGAAAGTTATGGTCGGTTTTTTCTTTAAAACATTAATTCTTTTGACTAAAAGCCGACCTGAAAAACGTTTTTATTTAGGTTTCGAAGCAAGAAACGAGTCGACGGACGTTCCATTTTATGAGGAATTCCCTCCGAACGCAATCGTCGTCTACACGGATGCAAGTTGCCTCCGGGGAATAGCGACTGGAATTGCGAACTTTTTTGGAAACGATCACCCACTTAATCTGTAAGCTATTTAATATTATCGTTTGAATGCTTTATAACCATTTTATTTTTAGCTCCATGCGGCTAAATTTGAACGAGCATAATAGTGGGAAAGGAGAGATTTATGCGACGACAATGGCTCTTCACCGTGTCGCACATTGGGAAGACTACAAGTAAGCTTTTATATTGAAACTAAATATTTCACATACTTCGAGTCTAGATCTTAATTTTTTCTTTTTAGTGGCGAACTAGTGATTGTTCGCACCGATTATTTGAACACACTCGTCGCAATGCAAAAAGGAAACAATAGCGCTTTTGCTATGGAGTTGGTTTTTAACTTTACGCAATCACACATTTTTGCTTAGTTACGACAATTTACGATGTGTGGCCGCATGGTTTCCACTTGGAGTCGAATTTCAGTGGGTTAAGGCACATAACGGTGATCCGGGAAACGAAATGGTAACAATTTATGTTTAGACTAAACCATTTATTATTTAGGCTGACACAATGGCAAAAAATGCAATTGAAAAGATAGAATTGGTCGATCAAGCTCGGTGGAACAGTCAAGATCAAGTAGAAATCGATCTCGTACTCAGTCCCGGTTCGTTTTTAAATTTAAAAACGAATTTCAAGTGATAAATTTTTGTTCTAGGCGTCGCGTCCGCTCCAACTCTCCTTTTCTCAAGCAAAACAGTAAACGAAGATCCCAAAGCCGAGAAGGTGGGATTCTAAAACAAGGAAGACTTTCAAGAATTGACACCATTGGATCCATTGACGCTGGGTTCGTAATTTTTGTTTGAAATCGATTGAATGAGAGCTTGAACTCTCAATTTTTAGACACGGTTCGCGTGGTTCTTCAGTGAGCTCAACTCGAAGCGATTCGTCACAAGGATATTATGATGATTGGTCAAATGGAGAGCGAAAAGTTTTGATCAGAGGTCTGTGTTTGTAATTTTTTAAAAAATATGTAATTGTTTAGGAGGCAAATCATGGAGAAAAGGTGACCGACCTCAAATCATCTACCCACACCAAACACCAATTATTCCGTATCTGCAACGATTCAAAGATTCAACGATTCTGCAATGATTTTTGGAGTGTTAATTGTTTTATCTCTGTAAAGATATCTTTGTACATAACTTGATTGTGATTTTTGCTTGCTGATTGTTACTTGCCGTTGAATGAATTGTACTGATAGTGTCATTTTTTTGGAAGCTGAGTTTTAAACTATGGTATTTGATGGAAAGGTGCTTTGCAGACTTGCCAGTAGAAAAGTTTCTGTGGGTTTTTTATATTTTGTGATTGTTAAGCAGTGAGACCTAAGCCTACGATTTCAATTTTAGAAAATGGCTTCCGGAGATGAACCCGCACCTCAGGCGCTCGATTTGGATATGGCCAAGAAATTTGTTGTGAAATGGATCCCCGCTGATTGGAATGAGGTATGTTATTAAGTTTTACTGTTTAAAAATGCATGTTTATGTGTGAGTATTGTGTTTTGTTTAGTGGAAGGTCTTTGAAATATTTTATCACTTTGGTCTTGTCAACAACGTACACCTCGCACCATTTAATTCGAAGTATCAAAAGAGTCAAACGGCGTTAGTTCCTACAGTAGTTTTCCTTAAATTGCAACGCTTTAGATTTGTTGACATGCTCGAACTGATTGGTGCACGGAAAATTCGTCAAGCGTTGATTGGCGATACTTTTATTGTTGATGGCGTTAGACTACTTGTATGTTTTTATGTGGCTTGACAGTTTATAGACACTCGCTGTAATTTATCACTCTAATTCAATACATTTAGGTTGAAAGGTATTATGACCTAAAGAAAAACGCACCCAAACAACGAGACGTAAAAGAAACTCCGAAATCACCATTAAGTGTCGAGGAGAATGACGAGATTGGAAGAAAAGTGCAGAAGCAATGTATAAACGAAAAACGAGAGTTTGTCTTTTGGGAGAGCCTTAGTTAATACTTTGTTTAGTTTCATCCACCAATTGATGCCAACAAATGGTAGCCAGCGAAAATTGTACCGAATTACCCATGGGGATCTGCCAATTGGAAAAGAAATTCCTGTCAACATCGTCGAGACTCCTGAGGATTATAAAGAAATTCCTGGGCGTCTCACCGTCTTTATGCGTCCAAAAGAAGTTGATGAGAGGTGGGTTGTAAAGAAATTTATTTCTGCTGATAAACTAAAAGTTTGGTTGTTCAACAATGATAGTGCCTCCATCACATCCGTTTTTACCTTTTTGTTTTAGGTATGCCAGGATGCAGAAAGAAATGAATCGCTACGTGAGAAGTCGTCCATCCGATCAAAAGATGCCAGAAATTGGTAATCATGTGATTCTGACATTCAACAATGTTGCGTATCGTGCAAGGGTTACTGGAAAGCAAGATGAGAACGCCATTCAAGCATATCTTGTTGATTTTGGCAAAATGGTGAGTTTTAACTTCCAATGAACAGCTTTTTGAGGATTGATTTTTAGGTAGTTGCCGAGGAATCATGGGCAATTCACTCTACGGCTTATCACGAATCTTGGAATTTTCATCTACCCCAAATGGTAACAATTTTTTGTTTGAGAAAATGTTAAAAGTACAAAAACATTAATCTTTTATTTTCTGATTTAGGTTGTTCAATGCGAGTTTGCCGATGTCATTTTTCAAGAGAAAAATGTTAGGCGAGTGAGAACGATCATTTGCAGCTTTATGTCCAATTCGAAGGTCGTCTTTATGGTTTCGCTCAAGAGATACTCGGGAGTAACTAATTTGATCCAAATGAGGGTCGGAATAGGTATGTTCTTCAGATTTTAAGTAAATTCCAAAATTTTGATTGATTTTGGAAGTTTCTTATTTTGATAATGTATCTAACTTTTTTAGAGCATGAAAGTCAAGACTTTGTTTCGGCGTTGATCGATCGAAAATTGTGCACTAGAGTTGATGAGGAAGGTCACATTGTATACGACCAAAAAACGCTTCATGATCTTCAGAAATGTTCTACTGTTATCGCTATGGTTGGCTTTTGATTTAGGAATAGTTTTATTATCTGCATTTAACTATTTATTTAATTTTTTTATCATTTATTTTCATTAGAAAATCTTTCTTTCAGGGATTTCCTTCGTATTTGAAGCCGTTTAAAACAATTCTTCAAAAAGACGATGTAATGTTGTAGGACTAAACTTTTCGATTTATCGTCTTCTATGCAAAAATTAATTCATTTTATGCAATCGTTTATTATTTACAAATTTCTATTTTGTTTACATGTTTGCTAAATAAATGTTACATTTAAGGTAAAGACTACAGTGTGGTGCAAAAGTCTTGTCCCACCTACTTTTCTGAAACATTTTGTCAAAATTCTAAAAATTTTCGAAAACAACTTTTTAAGTAAAGGAGTTTTTCTGAACTTGAAGTTGTAAGCTTTCATATAAAAAAGTTTTTAGATTTAAAAAATTTATTACCTGAAAGAAAATAACAAATAAAGTTTAAAATCAAAAAATATATGGTGCAAAAGTCTTGTCCCACCATAAAAAAGGTAAGCTAGATTAATATTTTGTCGGTCCTCCTTTAGCCAAAATCACCGCTTGAATACGTTGAGGCATTGAATCGACCAAAACCAGTAGAATTCCCGAAGAAATTCGTCGCCAAACGTTCCTGATAAAGAACCAAACCTTTGTGTTGAATATCTTGCCCCTGAGTTTAGTCTTTAAATGGGCCTAAAGATGCTCTATAACATTCAAATCCGGCGAATAAGGAGGCACTTTGATCAGTTTTACACGATAAGCAGCAAAAACGCCGGGTAGGCGAGCTCTTCCTCCATTTGCAAGTCGGACAACTCGGCCCATCATTAGCTGGCTTTTGTGGCATGGAGCGTTGTCTTGATATAAGCTCCATGTTCGTGTTTGCAAGTGGAAGTAAGTTGTTCTCTATGATTGACTTGTACCTTTGAGCATCGAGATTTCCATTGATAAACAATAGCGGTCCCGATACACTTCGATTCATCGAGCCCAAGAAAGACAAATGGTAAGTGAAAAATAGGGCGAACACTTACCCCACAACATAATACTCCTACCACCGAATTTGACCGTTGGCTTAACGTATTTGAGCTTATAACGTTGTCCAATTGGTCTTCTGATTAAATGGTTACCGTCCGGGTAGTATAAATTAATTCTAGTCTCATCGGTAAAAATGACTCGGGCCCAGTCATCGGAAGTCCAACAGTTGTAGTTCTTTGCAAAATCATATCTCAGCTTCCGAGTTTTTGCAATGGTCAAGGGTCGTTTTGCTGATCTTCTTGCATGCAACCCTGCTCGAATCAAGCGACGGTTGATGCTCCATCGAGAAATATTTTTGTTAGACATGACCTTCAACTTCATGATTCCATGGCACGAAGTCAGACTCGGGTCGATTCTATGGTCAATGATAAGTGCTCGATCTTCAGTTTTTGTTGTAATCGGTGGACGACCACTTTTCGAAGCTCTGTGAAGACTTTGGCCTCCTTCCGATTTTGCTGCTAGCCGACTCACCGTCCTTTTATTGGATTTGAAGAGCATATCAATAGACGGTGATGAATATCCATATTCCTTTGCTTGCACGATCTTTTGTTTATCAGGAGTTGATAAATATTTGCGAGTCGACATCTAAAAATAAAAATATAATACAAAAAAATTCATGAGAACAAACAAAGGCAAAGAGAAAATACAAATTTTCTTAGTGAGACAAGACTTTTGCACCACCTTTTTTTCTTAAGTTTTACGAAAAAAAAGGTTTTAAAAAACAACAAAATATTGAAGTACGGGCATTTACATAGTAAAAGATGAAGGGATAAACTACATAAAAAAACCCGTTACTTAAAAAGTTGTTTTCGACAAATTTTAGAATTTTGACAAATTGTTTCAGAAAAGTAAGTGGGACAAGACTTTTGCACCACAGTGTATTTCATGCCAATAGATTGCCGATAGAATTATTTCTGTAAGGTAAGATTGCTGTTTCGAATTTGGATTACAGGGTGCGTTTATGATACTACAAACCTGCCTCGAGAGCCCGTTAGTAAGTAGTTTAAATTGCTTTGATCTGTTTTTCCATCCAAAAAGGACTACGGTAGCTTTTAGTGAGCGCACATTTTAGAAAGTCAATAAGAAAAGTCTGCTCGTGATGCGTGCTTTCTTGTTATTGAAAGACAAATACTGAATGTGTTACACATTGCCTGATTTTGTTCCTTTCTTCATTTCAGTGTCATCCCTTATTCTTTGATTCATCGTATTCTTTTCCTCTTCAACCCTCCAGGCATTTCTCGCCTTTTTCCCTCCATTTTCGAGGTATTTGCCTTTTCGTTCAACCACCCCACACGCACACAAATAATCCATCCTTTCTCCTATCAAATATAACTATCTTTTCTCAAGATATCGGAAAGATACGATCAATTTCATGAATTTTTTCAATTTTCTATTCATTATTTTTCTGTTTTCTATCAAAGAATCCTTTGCACAATGGTCGATGGATCAAGTCTGCTACAAAAATTTCTACTTGGATCGAGCACATCCGGCACCAGTGTGAGTTTAAGACAAAAAAAACTATCTAGCCTCATGGGTAAAACATTTCCAAAAAGAAAAGCTACCTTAATCCCGAAAGGAACGATTTTTTGGAGTATAGTATTGGACTTGATCTTTTCCCAAACACTGGCTTTTTAGAAAGTTTTCCAAATGATTTTAAATCAAAAATGAAATTTTCAGTCGTTGTCCACCGAATGATTACTTCTCATATTATACTTGTTGTGATACGATGACCGATTTGTGCTGTCGAAGGCCGAGAGAACTTATTATGTGAGTACAATGAAGCGGATTTTTAAGTTTAGTGGATTAAGCGTTAGAAAAGATGCTCTCTACTTAATTATCGTAAACTAAAACAATGCAACTTGTTAGGAAATGTAATTATTAGAATATAAGCATTTTCTTTTTCGCTTAAGTTACTATATTCTACAGTCAAAGCTACAGTATCTCTTTGAATTTAAATTCAAATTTCAGTGTGATCATCGTGATTTGTCTTCTTTTATTTATCTGTTTGATGGGTTGTTGTGTATTCGGTTTTCTTTTTC